TGCTGCTGCTGCTGCTGCTGGCGCACGCGAGTTGTAGACTCGCGGAACAGGTGGGTCCCAGCATCGAACATATGAGAGCATATGCTTGTCAGGATTTGGCGGTCATTGGCTACGCTGGATATGATGCCTGTGCAGGTGCAGGTGACGAGTGCCTGCAGCGGGATGTGTTTTGGCCATGCAGCTGTTGTACGTCAGCCGTCCCTTTCCGAGATAAGCCGCCACCGCAAACAGGAAAGGGATCGAAAGCCTGCGACGATGCCATTGCTGCAGTCACCTCGACGGGTGTTACGCCAGAAGCCTAGCAAAAAAACACTTCATGGCTTCGGAACAACATGCAAGGGTTGTGTCCGTCCGTTTTTTTTTTTGTGTGTGTGTGTGTGGCGCGAAGCAAGCTTATCTACACTCGTTGAACACTGAGGGTCCAGATGGCTGCTTCAATTCTGCCTCTTCGGCCATTCCAAAAGTTGTCTTCCCTTAGATTCATCAGTTCTTCAGGTCAGACCAGGTCTTTGCACTGTGTGTTGGGATGTCGCCATGTTGGCAGAGTGTCGCAGCTCCTGCAAGGCCCGTCAATTGCACACAGCCGTAGCATGCTGAAGCACGGGGTGCATGGATGATTCTGGAGCCATCAGAGTCCCGAGGCAGACATCCCCAATGCAAACGGCCCGAAGCCCTAAATCAGCCTGAATCCCTAACCCTCCCTAAACCGCAAACCCTCCCTAAACCCTACCCTCCCTAAACCATAAAGGGCCCTAAAGCAAAGCAGCCCCAAAGGAACCTCCTCTGCAACCCGATCGTGGGTCGAGCTGCCGACCGTTTCGGTCGACGACCTGTGATCATCCTGGCAGCCGCCTGGCTCGCGGATGTGGTCGGTATATACAGATACATACATAAGACATACACACACACAAATACATGAATACGTATATAGAAAATAAATCAACATGCAAACAAACACAATAAATAAACAAATAGTTGATCGTAAATACAGATACAAGCGCATATATATATATATGTATATGTATATATGTATATGAAATTATAAATAACCCAGGCACACACATTTTGCGTCTGCTGTTTGCAAGGATGGTGTGGGTTGTATAGGGGTTCTCAAGATTTCCGCTCCTGGAAAGGAGGGCTTTGGTGTGGTTGTTCTTCAGGGCATGGTCTCCAAATCCGGACGTCTTATCTGTCACCTTGGGCTTTGGCTGTTTCAAAGGCAAGGAGCACCCTTCCCCTTACGTCGCAGCGCCAAATGGCCACAGAATTCAGGGTTCCGGCGTGTCCGAAATGGGTTCCAACTCCGGGCTTCCAAACGGAATCGCCTTGGACTGGCCTTGGATGACTCTGCATGCTTGAAGCGTTGGCTCAAATGCATTTCTTAGCCCGCAATGGTTTGGATGGTTGAATTCAGCTACATCTGTGGATTATACAACTCAGTGATTCAGCGATTCAAGCTAGAAGGATGAAGTCTACCTTAGAATCCCTAGAAGTCTCGATTGTCAGCTTTTCAATAAAGCGCAGAAGCCCAACCTGCAGAGCCCAACCTGAAGAGCGCGCAGTTGTGGCACATGAATACTGCGTATTATTTTGCCACATATACGTGTGCATATAATACTGTATACATAAATACATACATGAATACATACATACCTATGATTCTGAACTCTGAACTGCGCCATGAGAGCGTCACACCCTCATAAACGCCTTCAGGCCTGCGAATCGCCTCTCCAGGAAGCTACACTCGAACAGGATTTTTGTCTCCTCTCATCTTTTCCCCCGAAGCCCCAAGCACGCAGACGCCGTGCTCGAAATTGAGAATCGAAACCTCCAAAAACCTACAGCTCCACACCTTGGGAGCCTGGTCCCAGCTGTGAGTCGAATCGGAAGCCATGGCGGTGGCGAGTCCCGGCCTCTGGGCTACCTGTTCCCAAGCCCTCGAAACGGCTTCCGTGTCCATGGCGGACCCGCTGGTTCAGCAGCAGGAAGCCCATGGGTTCGGGTTCCTTCAAGGCTTGACAGGATTCTGTAGGTGATAGTGAAAAAAGGGTATATTCAAAGTCTGAAAGCGTCAGGGCTTGGAATTTCAGGGATGCATGGGCCTTTTTAGCTTTGGTTTAACCGCATCTCCCAAACCCCAAAGCTCTCCAAAGCCACGAGCCCTTGCTGCCGTCAGGCTGCAGAGGGCGCCGTGCTCCGAGCGCAGGCCGCCTTCGTGGCCTACCCGCTGGACGTTTTGAAGACGCAGGCTTCCGCGACCGACAGAGGGGGCTCTCCTGCAGGATGTGTGTGCTTTGTAGATACGCCCACACACAAACATACGTACACACATATATACGCACATACACCTATACGTACATACATATGTATGTACATACGTGCATACTTGCACTCTCATGCATGCATACTATATATATATATGTATATATGTATGTATGTATGTATGTATGTATGTATGTATGTATATGTACATGTATGCATGCATGCGCATTTGCGTGTATATGTGAATGGCTATGTATATGTATATGTACGTGTGTGTATCTATATGTGTATGTATATGCATATATACATTTGCACACGCACACACATATTTGCATAAATAGATACATATATGTATATGTGTGTATATGCATATGCATATGTCTATGTCTATGTCTATGTCTATTCCTATGTCTATGTCTATGTCTATGTGTATGTCTATGTATATGTGCATGTGTATGTGTATATGTATATGTGTGTATGTGTATGTGTATGTGTATATGTATATGTGTGTATGTGTGTGTATGTGTATGTGTGTATGTGTGCGTGTGTATGTGTGTATGTATGTATGTATGTATGTACGTATGTATGTATGAATGTATGAATGTATGAATGTATGAATGAATGAATGTATGTATGCATGCATGCATGTGTGTGTGTGCGTGTGTATGTATATATGTATGTATGTATGTATGTATGTATGTATGTATGTACGTATGTATGTATTTATGAATGCACGTCTGTCTGTGTGTCTGTCTGTACTGTACTGTACTGTACTGTATTGTACTGTAATGTAATGTAATGTAACGTAATGCAACGCAATGTAACGTAATGTATTGTAACGTAACGCAATGTAGCGTACTGTGACGTAATGTAACGTACTGTAATGTACTTAAAGCCCTGAGCCGCGAGATTTAGGACGAAACCCTGCCGATGCTACTCCCTGCCGTAAGGTTTAGGGTTACCCAGGCTGCTGCCTACCAACAAGGCTAATTATGCCTGTAACTTTTAACCCGAGATCCCCTGAGACGACTATCAGCAGGTTCAGTCGGGGCACCCGCGATACAGTCGGCTCTCCAGCCTTCCCTGCTTGATGAAGGACTCCCTGTGGGGCTCTTAGGGGTTGTATAGTTTCTTCGTGGTTTCATGGGGAGGGGTTTTGAGGCTCAGGATTTTCAGTGTCTACTGTGGCGTTGTGGTATGGTTTATGCAAAGAAGACAGGTCACGAGAAGCAGAGAGAATGAGAACCGCCACCGTCAAGTATCCTGTTGATATGCAATGCGAGCCACAGGAAGCCGAACAGCAAGGCCGCGGTGGCTGCAGACCAGCCGCGGACCCAAAATTAAAAACGCTCTGGGCTGCCCGCACGGTCTTGCAAAGCACAGGTATACCATGAATCGCTCCGGGCTGCTCAAGGGCCCGAAGCCCTTTCAAAAAGACCGGGAACCCAATACCCTATAGCCCAAAAAAAAGCCGAATTTAGCCATCAAGTCCAAAGCCCTTGAGGGCTGGGTTTTGAAGCCGTTCCAAGCTCGGAGCGGCTCGGCTTTGAAGCCGGCCGGGTTCAGTGATACTGAAACGTTGGCCTTTTTCAGCCGGAGGACTACAAGCTGCGGATCTTTCGAGGCTACCCGGGCGTGGGGGCGAACTCCTTCATCATGGGGGCTCTGATGTTCGGCGGCTACCGGTTCTTCGACAACTTTTGGGCCCTAAACCATGTGCCGGACTACTGGCGACCGGCGCTGGCAGGTGCCAGCATCGGGTCATTGTGCGGCTTCGTTGCGACACCGCTGGAGCAGATCAAAACCATCATGGCCCTGCAAGAGTCCTGGTTGAAGGAGAAGAAGATCAAAACCAGGACGGGGCCTGCAAATACACCCTAAACCCTAACCGTGAAACCCGGCGGGGAAAAAAAAAAGAGACGCGAAGCCCGAAACCCTAAACCCAGAAAGCTAAGCTGACAGCACCTGCGACCCAAACTTCTCAACCCCAGGGCGTTTCGGAGGCCCTCCGCAACCCACACCCCAAGGCGAACAAACAAGATGCCAAAAGCAGCCAAACAAGCAACAAGCCCCGATGACTCCCAAAGTCCAAAGCCTAAGCCCTAAATCCTAAATTCCTTAAATCCTTTCAGCAGGATCTATTCCTCCGTTCTGCAGGGGGCCTATCAGGCTCCGTTGAGGCTTAAGTTCTATGCAGCGACACCCTTGGTGATCCGCACATCCCTCTTCGATGGCCAGCTGTTCTTCTACAACAGCCGGCTCAGGGAGTGCTTGAAGATCATTAACGTTGAAGGTTTGGGTTAGGATTTAGGGTTAAAGGTCTAGGGTTCAGGGGTTAGGGTTTAGGGGTGGGTGGGGTGGGTAGTGGGTGGTTGGGGTAAAGCATGTAGAAGTTTAGGAAGTTTAGGGTGGAGGGTTCAGCTTCGCATTCTTTTGCCAGGGTCCTTTCTTGTGTCGGGTCCAGGGTCGGGTCGCTCACTTTCTGGACTTCCAACCGATGTCGGCAACTTTTCAGAATCATTTCCACCAGTGCCCTCCTTGACTCGTCCTCTATTCTGTGCTTTAACCACCGGTTCTCCTGTAAGGTTCAGACTTGGTGAACAGGATTGGGGAATAGGCTATGGGGTTTTGGGGTTGGGTTTTCGGAATCTTTTCAGGTTTCGTTTTGACCCCTGGGGTTTGTTCGGCTCTTTAGGTGGGTCTCCCACGACGGAGTCGCCTGCTCCTCTGGCACGCGGTTCTTTGTCAGCACCGTGGGCTTCATGTTTGCAGGCCTCATCGCGGCCACGGTGCCTTGAGATCGCAAGGTCAGAACCCCCTAGATCCCAAAGTCTGATACCCAAGCCCATGCAAAAAAACCGTCAATTCTAAACCCCGAACATCCAGCCGCTAGCCAGCATGCAGTAGCTATCGGTCTCAGTTTCAGTTTTAACTTGCCATGAACGAAGCTCTTGAAGCTCAAGCTCGCGGGTCGAAACAGGGAGGTTGTGAGGTTGCGGGAGGTTTCAACACATGGAAGCGCAACCCGTGGTCTTGAGCCATGAGTGTTGAAGCCCCCACACAGCTCTGTAGCCTGAAGTCTTACACCCTGTAAAGGTAACTCAAACTCCACAACTCCAAAGCCGAGTTCACACACTGAGCCCAACAACGCTTCAAGCCTCAACCCCTGTAACCTCCCTTAGGCCAGCAAGTCCCCCAGCCCTAGAACAACTTATAAGTGTAACCATCTATCAGGGGCCTTTGTAAACCCTGAGCTTCAAGCCGCTAAGCCAACTTACCAAACAAATGCTTCAGCCGAGGTGAACTATCCGTTTGACCGAGTCAAGGGGCTGATGATGGGAGAGGCCACTAGGGAGGGTTTGGGGTTTATACGGCTTTTGGTGCATGAGGCTCTCCATGAAATTTCAGAGGGCTTTTGCTGCAAGGGTTTGTAATTGGTCTTGCAAGGGTTTACATGGTTCCTTAGCTTGTTAAGGGGTGTGTAGGTTTGCCGCCACTATTTATCTGGGCTCACGTTACCATGAGCAGCAGTGGCTGCGGGATTCAGGAGTCCCTCCGCCTTCAAGCATAATATGGTTCTTTTTTTTCTCGGGGTGTTAGGGGTCTAGGGTTTTATTAAGGCCCTAAACCCTAAAACTTAAACGTGTGTTTCTTAAATAAAGGGTTCTTGGAGTCTCCGGGGTCCAAGTCAGTAGCCCCAGTCGTGTTTTGTGTCGTTGCTTCTGCGGCGGTGACTTTGCAGTGGCTGCGTTGTAGGTATGCGTTGTTGTGTCATAATAAGATTTTTCTTCTGGCGAGATGCTATGCTTGTATTTTCCGTGAATTGTATTGGTGCTTCGGTCGAAAAGCCAGATCAAAACCGAAACCAAACCGACTCGAGGCATACCAGGCCTCCACCGGCGAGGTGGCGCAGCACTCCACCCTAGGCTCCGTGGCGGGCACAAAAAGTAGGGTTGTCATACGGCAGTATCACCTAGAACAGCGGCTACAACCCTGTAACATCCTGTAAGGGGTTTTGTGCAGACCCCTACAACAACCCGGCAGGATCGCTGTAGCCCTGGAAAACTAGTATGAACAAGCGCTTGCAAGACTTGTTGGAAGCTTAGGCGCCTGGCGGTCAAGAATCCTCAATCCGAACGCCCTAAATCCCTTGTCTGAGTTGCGAGAGCGTACAGCTCCTCCAAACCCCTGAGCCCTAAACCCTAGATCGTTAAAATCCCTACAAACCCCCATAAACCCCTACA